AACTCATCATTCTAAAAGTGATGAAGGACACTCCTCATCGGGAGTCTGCAACTGGGTAAAAACCCCGTGCGACTCACGGTTCCATGTATGTACATGGTATCCATTGGTTAGGGTTTAGTATCTTGGAGCATCCAGACACAACTATGCATTGTTGAGAGACAGGAGAGTGGGAACCACAGTGCAGCAATAACAAGGTAAGACAGATCACATTATAAAGTTGTGCTTTATTCATTTTAAAAAGGCATGTGGAGTTTTGGTTTAGATAAATAAGGGTGTTGTGCGATTGCAGATGTTCTCCATCATGCTTTTAAGTTATCCAGTGACATACATGTACATACCAATACATTATAAGAACCTTAAAGACGATTTCAACATCTGACATACATATTAAGTGTTTACAAATACCATGATGCCACGTCGTGTTTCCATGTAGGTCGCCATTTGATGTTTCAAACTAACATATACATTTTTTAGGCTTTAAAATAAATTGGGTTTCAAAGCAAACCGCGACATTTTTAAAGATGGGCAGGGACGGGTACGTATTTTTTTTATTTTTATAACAAAATTAAACATCAAATGGGCTATGTTCACTATACCAAAAGTTAAAAAAGCGCTATTTTGAATTCCATTTTTCAATTAACGTACATATGCACTTTTTAACACATGCAGTGTTTTTGCGATGCCTCTTTATGTATTTTTTACATCTGAGATTTTGCATTCTGCTAACCAAAAGAGAGGGTGCAAACTAGGCCTATACGAAAAGTGACTGAACGAGAACCAGGTGTGCATTCCAGGTAAAGGTAGGTAGTCAGAAGCCAAGCAGCCAACATAAGGACATAATATTATAACCTGCGCAACAAATAGGAACACACTGTCACGATTAATGTGAAATGACGATTTTCCTTGAAATACCCTCGTTATCAAGGAGGCTAAATTGTTGACAGTAAAAACGCACAGAGCCTCAAAAGAAGTTAATGGCGTGACCCTTTCACACCAGGAATGTCCAAACTGCGAATAGGTAGGGCCTGAGTCAGAACGCTGTGATCTTCCACTGTTCATAGACCTACCTTTTTTTTTTTTACTGTAAGAACAGACACACCTCTCTGCAGATTGAAGTCCACTTACACATGAGTGTAAACGCCTTCAATTGTGGACTCCCTATTGTTCCTCTTTTGTTCATACTCTTTTTTTTTTTTGTTCATACTTACTTTTTCGGAAGACCTCCCATATGTTTTATACACGTTTTTCAACCGTGGACTCTTCGGCAACCGTGGACCCTATTGTCCCCTATTGTTATACGTCCACGATTTGAACGTGTATACAAACTCAAGAAACACACAATAAATACACGCTGACTACGACGTGGTATAACTTCGGTGTTACAGTACAGGTGTGACGGGTGTTATACACCCACTAGGAAGAGGTTATTTATTTGCCCCATTTACACTCTTAAATACGCCGGTATTAATCATGTTACCAAATAAGGCAAGGGAAACTTGACAAGAGTAAAACTAGAAAAAGTAGTCATGATAAGATGCTGTGGAACTACAGTAGAATAAAAGTACCAGTATTTAAAGGAGCCAATTCGTATTTACCCCCATGTGTGTTGAAAGCTCAGAGATACGCGGCACGTACGATGTACTGTTTATTCACATAGCATATACATTATAAGTAAAAGTAGGACCATGACGTTTGATATTCGAAGTGCGCTGTTTGAATTTGAGCCATGTTTAAAAGTTGAGCCTTGACGTTTGCGTGTCGCTTGTAAAACGCCAATTGCAGACATCTGTTTTTGAAATAAATTGCTAACATTCTCACAGTACTTTACACCCAATTGTAAATACCTACGCTCATTATAAACGCATCTTTGCGTTAATTGTTGACATGTAACTATATAAAATAAAATAAGTTGTTTGGAAATGTTTCGTGTTTTGGTGTTCAGATGGTGTTAACACCCGATAAACGTGTTAGTGTGTCTTGTTGTTAACAACCAAATGTGTCACGGAATCTAAATTCAGTGACACATCAACACGCATTTGTTGAAAAAAATAAACACCACAACGAGTTAGCTTTGGATTATTAACACCATAACACGTTCTTATAAGTGTAACCAGGAAAACGTTTAAAAGGCGTTAAAACATTCACACCTGTTTTGTTAAGTGTGGTTACTGTTATCTTATTTTTTGTCGCTGCTGTCGGTCATTGTTGTTGCTGTCGATCATTGTTGTTGCTGTTGTCGACCTTCAATTTAATTTTAACATAATTTTAACAATAACTTTGCTAATTAAAAGCCCTGTACTGTCTTTTTTTCTTAGTATTTCTCTCGAAGTCATATGTTTCTCAGGGGAAAATTATTGTTTTTATGCCCCCCAAACAAAAGTCTCAGGTTTCTGGTCAACGCACGCGTCGCCGTAGACCTGCGCTTTTTTGGCATTGAACGATTTTCTAAAGCCGCCAAACTTACTTGATAGGTAGGAATTCTGCTACCGCGTATTTTTAACGTGTTTTTGATGGGTGGAGTTGAGTAATATATACTGTAAAAGAATCCCCCAGGCCTCAACACATTTCAATCGGGCACTTTTATCAGATGACATCATTCGTGTCGGAATCAGTTGGCTGCGGCTTGGGCCCTTTTCCAATACTCGACTTGGGCTCCGTATCAGGCTTCGTTCCCAAAACCAATCCCCGATTGCAGGCCTGAACCGTTTAAATTAAATTGGATTACTGTAATTTCTGGCTCTTTTGCATGTTATTTGATGATTTGTGGCACTCTTAGACTAACTACTTACAGCTTAATAAACCAGGTGAAGCCTGAGACGAAGCCGAAGTTGAGTATTGGAAAACAGCATTGATATTATGCATGATTCTATGGGAACTTTCGGTAGATGCTGCCAAATACTCAGTGTAATTTCCGGCCGTAGCCAATTGATTGGGACCCGGGCCCACGTCCGTGAACCAGACAAACGAAGTGGTCGCACGTCCTGCTTACGTATACAAATTAGAAACGCTTTTAAGCAACAAACCTTGAGTGGCCAGTCTATTTCAGTGTCGGTGAGGCAGTGACTGTACATACGCATGCTGTGCATGCAGTAGCGACGGACATCGCGTTATGACAACCATGCATGTATTCATGTAACGACTCATGTATTGCCACTTGCCAAGATCAAAGGTAGATTAGAGTGAGAGGAGATTTCATTTTCGGAGCTGAATTTGCCCCCAATATGTTAAATGCAACATGTTTCTTATAAGCTAAAATAGAAAACAATGTGCACAGTATATCGTGTACCTCATGAGAATTTTGTTTTCATTTTGACTCTGTAGCTGAACTGTTTTCAATTATTTTTTTCATTGGCTATTTGACGTGTAACTTGTTTCCTCTAAGCTAAAGCAGGAAACTATGTGCAAAGAATGCCATGTGCAGCTACGTCACGAGAATCTAATTGAATCTAATTGAAACTGGAGCTGAACATTTATTTTCCACATTTAATTTTTCCATGGTTTTGCTACAGTGTTTAAACAAGCTCAATCTTGTCAAGAATAGAAGCCTCTTGTTTGAGTGAGATGACTGAAACCATTGCCTCTCGTCATATTTTATGGTCTTTTATTAATTCAAAGATGTTAATTTACACTTCTCCTGGTAACAAGGCCATGCGCTCTGAAGTATATGTGCATGTACAGCACATCTAAGCAAAAAGAAGAAGAAGAAAAAAATTAAACCGCGTCACGGCACCACTTTTGGAACAAGCCCATGACCCAAAACCGGAGTCTTTTTTTTTTTGGGGGGGGGGGCTTTTCCGGGGATTCATTTTTAATACTGTATGTCTGCTACTGAGCGACCTCCCGCAAAGCGAACACTTAAAATACAGAAAGTGGTATTAAGATATGGAAACCATCTCACATCAACAAATCTGCCACTATTTACGAGCAACAGATGTCAAGATACAACCACAAGTTTTTGCCGTGGCAAATTACAAGGAAGACAAAAAAATACAACTACAAACGGGAGAAGGTTTAGTTTCCATGGTAACGGTATTGCATTTTACAAGGCACCCGGTTCTGTGACTTGCCGCAATGTTTACCATCCTAGGCATTACTTGCCTCTGAATACGAAAGTTACTAACAAGGCGTCTTGTCACTGTGGACGAATAAATTTCTTCTTAAACATGGAAATCACATTCAATAGACATATCGAAGTAATGAGCAAAGGTCATTTTTCCAAAATGTGGCATTGTCAAAACATTCATATCCGCGGCATTTTCCTGCATTACATGTGTTTTGCTCTCCCTGAAGGCAAACACATCTCCATTCCGTGGACTTTTTCATCCTTTAAATTTCATCAAACTTGAAAGAACACTTGGGCCTTTCCATAAATTAATGTAAGGGACACAACCCTATACGTAAGTAACGTGTAGACCTACTCTGTTGTGTGGGCCATGTTTATTCATCATAGTGGCAAAAGTTCCTTGTACCATATACTGTCTACATTTCCTGGCACCCCTCCGAGGTCTCTCAGCTACGTCAAGTTCATGGCTGGCACCGTTAGTTTCCAAAATAAATATAACGTAGTGTCAAGCCAACCGTTTCTACTCTGGCGTATCTAGCGGGGAGATATGTTGCCTAAAGAAAATATGATAGGTTTGTTTATAGGAATTTGACCACTAACACATCAGAAATGATACTAATGTATTCGTAGGGGGATTATTTACTGTCAAAAAGTGAACGATCATTTAAAAAAAACATTGCCCACTCAAAACCTTAATTGGCGCATGTGTCTGTGCTTTATTGCAGCTCACCCGCCAGTTTCAACAATAATAGTGTTAATTAAATTTTGCTGATTTGTAACTCGGTATTAAAACATGTGATTAAAATGTGTGAAAAGTTGTCAGATTTGTCAAGTATTAAACAAAATGTACAAAGATGGGCATCGGACATTATTCTAACGAGGCAGAATTTTGCCTGGGCTGATTGAGCGCAGAGAACGGAATCAAAGTGAGCCGAAATAGGGACTTGGTAAATGCAATTTGTTTTATTTTGATGTGTTTGTGAAAGGTTGTGCCCCCTTTGGTACATGTTGAGAGTATTTTAATGAGCAATGACGTTTATTTGATTATTTTAATTTTTCTGAACACGAAGAAACTGTGGACATATGCAACTCCTATCAAACTAATTGGTAAAAAAAACAAAAAAACGAACAAACAAACAAACAAAACAACAACAAACCCATACATTTTGCCACCGTTGAGAACTATATACGCTGACATTTTTGTATGTAAACCAGTTGACGTCTGAGCACGCGCCACATTTTTTACCAGAGAAGTTGAACACATGCTAAACAGCTGAAACAAAGGGACTCATAAGAAAGAATGAAAATACTGATGCATAAATTCCTATTTTGCCTCCCTACATAATGGGTGCCAGAAATAAACTGACGAAAAAACTGGGCCCCAACAGCTTTTTCGGGGACATTAACTAGCAAGAGATAGCAACAAACTGTTGCTGGGAATTGCAGATTACAGTTCATCATAAGGAAGAGTGGTAAATATCTTCCGAAAAGTAAAAAAATAAAAATAAACAATTTTAATTAAGGACAGAAAGTAAATTCTATTGGATTCCTGCCTTAACTGCTATACGTTGGTAGCTTCCCTTTTGATTTACATTGGCTTCCTAAGTGCTTACTTTGGCGTTATTATACAAATTTGACACAGCACGCTGCGGGAACTGTTTACATTGCGGGGCAATATATAGAGATTACATGTACTTGCAGTCAGCAGTTGATCGCAAAACGCTGTGGAGGATTTGTTTCTTTTCCATCGAACTGAAGTTTATCAAAATGTTTTCCTTGTGTCTATTTCACGTCGCCGATCATTTGATGCCAAGCCTTTTTGAAATGATTATGGTATCTTTTGGAGCCGGCAACTGTTTGGACTTGTGCATTGCATTGACTCTTCAATGTTGCCAGACAAAATATCAATAAATTTTCACTCACTTTATATCACACGAATAAATTGCCTCTGCACTTATCAGCATTTCAGTGATGTCATAAACTCATATACAGTTGTATAAAATGATAATATTATCTTCTCATTCCAACAGTCTTATTTAGTCCTTTGTTAAACGGAAAAGGTAGCAGTACATGTGCAACATTGACTTCCGATAAAAGAACGGCATTTTGATGACGTAATCATGTTAATATCCATAAACAGCAACAGGTTTAAAGCCTTGCTTGGTGAACCTCTTTTAAGAATAATTCTGACCCGCTCCTGAAACTCTGTAGTGGCCCATATGCAGTGGCGACTACCTCCCTTGAGATATCTGTTTCTATAATAAAGTCGTTATTGTCAGCAGGTTCGAAGAGTTGCCCGGCTGGCAGCTCCGGTGACAGAGCCAAGGACACAATATTGAAGCCTTCTTTGCTAATTGGGCTGGTATTTTTCGAAGGAATGCAATAAACCTTGCAGGCAATGTTGTGCAGTCAACCATCAACTGCTGGCAGTTAATGGAGGCGCTGAAATTAGACGGCAGATTGAGGCGGATGACATTATTGAGCAAAAACATCGCTTTCGTCTACCAGGGTTTATAAAGGACCATTAGAGAACTAAAAAGCAGCCTTTTTCCATGGTAACGTCATTTACAAGGCTCCATATGCACCAGAAAAATTCCTTTCGGTGAGTGCTTTAAACACGTGCGGTGAGTACAAATGCAAAAGACATTTTTGCGTATAGAAAATTCGTAAACTAGGCGGGGTTCACCACAAAGGGATCAAGAAAAAACTTCCCAGGGACTGCGGCACGCACATAATGGCCTTTTGGTATAAATTTGATAATAAGCAGAGCTTACGTGTCTATTTGCAACAAAATATAGGGCTTTTGAATTTGCAGCTGTCGGGAAAAAACATCATTTATATGAAAGAAACGTAAATACTATGAAATATGAGATGATTCATTTAAAACAAAATCATGCGATAATGTTATCATCGCGTCATTTCAATGTAATTTCAGGTCCACCAATATATCAAGTGTGAGCCCGATCGAAAGTGCATTTTTCAAGTTACAGGACCTTGAACACATTTGCTCCTTTCATATGACGTCAGGTAACCTGTGATTACGCCATCTAGAGGTCACATCGTTATACCTACAGCATATCCCCGTCCATAAACATATAAAGATCGAAGTAAATATTTCTAGTAAAAGAAAAATAATGCACCCTCAAGAAATTCACGTGACCAAGGACAACGACATCTTGAGGTCTCCTTAATTATAACGCATCCCGTTACACCTACATACCAAGCGTCAACCCAATCAAACGGACAGTTGTAGGACATTAGGATGTTGTAGGATATCTTAGAATTACACTGTGTAACAAATTCACCAAAGTAATTTTGGGGATCAACTATAGTCTTTAAAAAGGGTTTGGGGACATCACTAAAAGTTGTAAGACATTTCTAACGACAAGTACATCTTAATTGGAGTATCTGCCTCCGTAATTTTGCTCATGGATTCCCTGCTACCGACCTATATTCATAATTCTGTATGCTCAGTGTTGTCCAAGAGCTCCCGGATTTGGAAACCTCATGGTTTAGCATTTGGGGACATACACTCGCATTACACTGTTATGTGGGGACCGAAAGCAATGTGAGGACAAAGAAAGGTTCCCACAACTCCGTCCTAATTCACCTTTAATAATCACCACCTTGAAAAAGACGAAGGTCTGCCCTTAAGGGCTGACTTTCCCAGTGAAGTGTGTAAAGGTTTCATGTACTAATAAACACAGGTGACAAGTCTTATCTATTCGGTAATTTTTCTGTAAATGCAGGACAATGGCAGAAAAACACCTGCTACTCCTGGTGCTCATTACAGGTGGGTATAGACGTATTTCCAAATGCTTGGTTTCCGCACACCTCAGAAACGCATCCTTAAGTTAAGGAGAGCTTTGTACGGGAGTCAAACACAGCAAAAAGATGCGAATACGCAATGATTATACTCTCTTTAGTGGTTCTGACAGTGTTGCAACAAGACTACTTCGTACACCACGTAGTATACAGGTATGGATATATCCTCGATTGAACAGCATTGGACTATAAAAGATCACTTTTGCGAATTTTTCTGTTTAAATGTACGATAAAATATTCGAGGATAGGAGAAAAGTTCGCTACAATATGATTTTTCTATTTTCTTAAGAATCAACAAATGAAACGCCTTTTTGCCAACAATAGATTTTTGCTTATTGCTTTTATGATTAATACTGCTATTACTACCACTAAGTGATATTGTTATTTAAAGCAATATATACATGTAACTAATAAAATGCCCCCGTTTATGCGACCGAACTGTAGAGCAGTGAATATCTATTAACAATTATTCACAGACTTTTTGAATGGCTTTTCTTCTATTGCCAACAAACGGAAAACCATAAAACTGTTTCAATAGATGACTGCTTCACTTTTTGAAATTTAGTTTCAGCTCATTTAATTGCAAATATTTTCGTAGTCAAAGTAACTAGTTTGTACTTGGAACTGTTTTCAAATGACAGTTTTAACACTATTGTAAACTGTCATACCCTCGAAATATTTGCCTTGAATTCCTTTCAGAGATTTTCCAGGGTCAAAGTTATAGAAAAAACAAAAAAATGGAAAAGTGTCTGAACAATTTGATGTCCAAAGTTGAGATCTATACTTAAGGCATACTTTTAAACACACATTGTGGATTTGGTTAGAATGATTTATTTTTTTATTGCACGACAGCCACACATTGATTTGGGGCTGCATGTGTGACAAATTACATTCTTAGCTCGTAAAATTACCCTCCACACCAAAATCATTTCCGTGACTATTTCTTGTTTAGTCATGTTTACAAAAATTTACATTACATTCAATCTACACCATCACCCGAAAGTCTTTTGATATTTTCGAGTGTAGTTTTTCCAAAGATAAGTAGACCAAAAGTTTTCCCAATTGAATGATTTGTTATTTTCCCTCTTATTAGTGATACCTGAATCACTAGGAGTTGCTTGTTACATCGGGAATCAATGGAAGGCTTCAACCAATGGCAATAGTTCTCTTTTCCTGACAACTTATGAGAAAGACCCATGCAATTGCTCGTCCTTCGATCTAGGCGGAGCAAATATCTGGCCAACGGGCCGAGACACGCCGCAAACTACATTTATCAAGAAGATGGTCTTCGACAGTGACACCAGTAAAGTACATGCTTTCTTGAATTGCCCAGGTATGAAGCAAAAAGCTATTTTGAGGACAAATTCAATATAATTTGCGTGGGACTCGATGAAATTTAGCTGAACACGAGGCCTCTCAAAACTATAAAAAAAACCAGGAATTACGGGTTACTTACAAAGAAATTAACACTGTTAATTAACAAAGAAATTAACAAGCGTGCCTCACTCTGAGCAACAATCACGTGATTTGTATCACAAGAGAAGGTGAAACGCAGCAGCTGACCCACACTTCCTGAGTTGTTCCTAGGTTGGACCCATACACTCGTTTTAGAGGGAGTTTCGATCACCCACTGGGTCAGTTTGGTATTGCCACAAATTTGGCGGGAAGATACCCACTCCACATCGCTCTCATATGTTTGTGTACAAATAGCCCCCTCATCCCCCTTGTGACAGTGTAGCAGGCCACTGTGGAGTGATTTCACTGCCCTGGATGACTGCCAGAGCCCAGGATTACTTACTTTTTAGTGGTTCTCCACACAACGTTAACAAGTTTGGAGCAAGGCTTATTGCCCTTCTGGGATTCCTCTGAGAATATAATTGTCTGGGAAGATGGATGACCCTTGGGAATGAGTCAAGCCAGGCTTGCTATTGTGGTCGTTGAGTGGCCTTAGATGGCCGGGCCGCAGCAGTGAGATTTTTTTGAGATACCCCTTTGAATTGTTTTGTGGCTAAATATTGATGAAAGGAAGTCATAGAAACAGAAAAAATAATACTACGTATAGTGCCTAATTACGTAATTAACAGTTTGACTCAGAATGAGTCACGCTTCCACTTCTGCCCCCATAATGCAACATGGCTCACTTTTCTGAGGGTTTTAACGATACCATACGACAATTTTCATCGATTTTTCAAACGGTTAAATTTTTAACGTTGCAAATCTTTCAATTATTAAAATACTCAATAACCACTTGGCATTCTATGATATACATGTGTGTCAAAGAAACACATGCACTCCAATGTCCAAGCCAGCCAAATGTTCAGCCAAGTCCTATTCAACAATGTTTCAAATACCAGTTTCTTCTCCACACCGTTATCCTAACAAAAACATCTGCCCCACATAATGTGTGGGTACTACTTGAGTAAATTGTTCGGGTTCGGCAACTTCGCCTGTCAATACCATGAAGCAAATGGAAGTTGCGATATTAAACGCAGCTTGTGTGTGAAGTGAATAAGATTAATGGATTACTTTGTTGTAATAACTTTTGTTACTGCGAATGCATACAGAAATTTGACATATTCCTCAAAATTATTGCTTTATTGACTGTCGGATGCGAAAACCACAAAAAGATTCTCTGGAAAAATGAAAATGTATGACTGAACTAAGCAGGTCAACGCTTTCAGGCTAGGCAAAGCAATGAAACCTGTTCTTATCTGAGTTACTACCAACAGATGTTCTCGAGGCTTTTTAGACACTTTAATAAACGATTCCTGCTTTAGATTTTAGGTTTTGACATTGCTGCTCGCAGTCATGAAGTGAATTACCTGCAATGAAACTCCTCGTGTCTATGGTGTACTATTTACGGCACATTTTCGCCTCCGGAGCGACACAACTACACAACGCGACAGCACGACAGTTCCCTTGCATCGTGACGTCGCGTCGTGTCGTCGCTCTTTCGCCATGACATCTGTACACACACGTGCTTTTTGGTAGACTCAAGCACTATAGACCCACATGGTAACTTACACGCGGTATTTGGGTTGTATTAAACTGTGACTTTTCAAAAGCAATCTATAATCTTCAGCTTGAAGATGGTGTTGACACAAACAACTCAACTACCAGATCAAAGATAGTTAGATGTCTGTTGAACGGTAGGGTCTTTCCCAAGTGGGACAACGCTCTCCAAATCTGAGGCAACCTTTGGACCTCGAAGTGTTAGAAATCATTGGAAAATTTAAACTTTTGACCTTTGAAGAGATTGAGAAAAGTTTGAGGTATGGTTGGTTTTTTTTTTCAAGTAAAACCAAATAGCCCGTGCTATGAAAACTGCTACAACTAACGCATAATAATGTTTTTTAATGTAAAGAGAATTCAAATCAATGAAGCCAACGGAACGCTCTGTGACCACTAAAGTAATTGGCATAACTTTGGAAGTGTTCAAAACCTACCTATCCAGTTTAAGAAGAACGTGGAACACCGAAATCTAATACAAACCACAGGAACTACGGCAGTGCAGCCTAGTTTGCACCCATTTGGCTTCCTGAACATAAAAAACGAATGGTCATTTTATGAGTATGGCTAGGAGCTTTTCTCTGTTCAACTGCCTGTAAGCAACTGATGAGATTCCATCAATTTTTTACTGCAGAGCGTTGTGATAAGCCACTTGGCTTTGGAAAAGGCTACATTCCAGATTCGAGCATTGCTGTATATGGGAATAAAGAAGTACACTTCACACGAGTCAACCAACGCGTACAGCTATGCCCGACTACCCATAGCATTAACATCCAATTAGATCTCGGCAGATCAGAGCATATATCTGGGATCATGATGCAGTTCGAGTCAACGGAGCGTATTCTTCTACCTTTGACAATGGTTTACATGATGGTTTCGTTTTCAAACCACGCAGACGTGCATGAAATGCATTTCAATGTAAGTTACAAATGCCTAACTTTTTTATTTTCCTTTATACTCCAAAGCTTGTCCTGGCAACGCAATCTCGCAAAATAAAAATACCTGAGCAATAGAAAATATTCCGTATACTGTTATTGGGTCATCTGTTACCTGTATAAAGTGTTTTACACTCTTATACTGCCTAATAATTTGACATTGAACCCCTGAGACATGTTATCAAAGGTCCATTTCAAAATTGAACTATTTTTTTCATTCCTCCCAGGACATTCTTATTCTCATTACCTTTTAAAGGCAAATCCTGAAAAAAATGCATCGGCAATTCTTAGCGACGTTCACTAGAACACCATGTGGAATGGGTCACTTCTAGACGTGTTGTGCTTCCTTTCAAAATTGCGTTTCAAAATCGACTTGCCTTTTAAAAATTCCTCCCACGACACTTACAGTTATTGCCGTTATGTGTCGCTGAAAGTTTATACTTAACCTTTTCAGGGCAACTACTGAGAAAGAGCGCAGTTTACGGGGACAGCCTGTGGAATCGATCTCTTTTGAAGGTGTGGTGGTTCTGAGAAGAACTGGTCATGATTGGGAAGTACTCGTTTCGACGAAAATACGTAGAGTTCCCACTCCCCAGTTCTTCTTAGAACTAACATACTTTTGAAAGGGATCGATTCCAGGGAGTCACTAGCAAATTTCTACATTATCAACGAAAGGAATTCTAATGGAAAAACTTGATGGTCGGCCTTTTACAGGCAAATGAATATTTAACACCAGCGTGTTTTTTTCTGTGAAGAAACAACCCTGCATGTTTTCTTCCGTAGACTGCGTTACATTACTTATAAGAAGGGCCTCTATATTATGTTTCATACCATCGTAGGCCTAAACTTTTTTCCCGACCTTTTTTATTCCGAGCGAACCTCCTATTAATTATCACATAAATTGGGCAAGTCCCTGTTTAGGCGTCGTTCACAATAATATCTGTCAAACCTTTTAATGCAATCTTACCGTTTTCCAAATTTCATTCCATATGGAACCCTGACCCCCACCAAGTTCAAAGTTTGCAAATTTTCTGATGAATCTCGTTGTGCCCGACTTTTCCCAGGGCCGTAGGCGTCAAATACAGGCAAATGCTTGGAGGAGCCTACTTCAGGGTTTTCCCGACAACAGCTCGAGTCCATCCAGGAATAACAGACAATGCCAACGCTAATAGGTTTATACGAGACAACCCGCTTATCCTTTTTTAACTTTAACAATAAAAAGAAACGAAATGGTTCGTTTTAAACATGTTATTCTCGATAATTCAGGACCACTTCTAAAACATTGCTTCGACCATGAGGTCTTACTAAAAGTCGCTTGTGAGTTCATTCCTTTTATATTTTTCGATATTTTGACCTGTCGATACGTCTTCGGACAGTGCAGAATCTATTTTTAACTTTGAGCAACAATGTGACATACCACGGTGTACCACTGATTTCTGGTATGTGACAGTCATGAGTCATTCGTTACTTTGGTTGTTTTCCAGCTTTCACTTGAGACAAAGGCATCTCTGTATGGTTACTCCCTCGAGAAGCTGTTTGAAGAAGTTATCGTGGCACGCTATTTGGAAATTTCCTGGTTTAGCGAAGAGCTCCTGCCTTGTTTCCAGTTCGAGCTGTTGGGCTGCAGAGGTAGTATACTGCTACTGAATAGACGTACCTGCGTGTTGCAATCAAAATCAATCAACGGTCACAGTGATTCGTGGATTATAAGTCATGCGATTAATCAGTCACTTTGTGACTGCATATAAATCACCTCCAGACTTGCCCAGATTCAGTAACGAGGTCGTTATAGTGTTTAGTGGCAATTATGACCTTGAAAATTAATTCCCATTATATGCTGATTATGAAGAGCCCTGTATCCTTCCTTGAAATAAACGACACGCTTAATCCACCAAGATCACAGTGGTGACCTATGATTAGTGAGATTATTACTGCATACAGTCGTGCCCAAACGTTTAAATACGCATTAGCAGAACAAAGTTATTTTCCTTTTATACCCCTGCAATTGACAATAACCATCATTCTTTTCATTCCTACCACATTTACAACTATTCTCCTTCATTTCAACAAAAAATTCCGCAAATGTTTCATTCGGGGTGACCTTATTCACTATTTTCATTTGATGTGACGAAATTCGAGGGGCAAAATTTCGCATACATCAAATTGACTTGCAGCATGATTGGCTTTAAATAAGGTCTGGAATATTCCTCAAATGTCCTCTTGTTACTTGTATTTTGTCTTTCACTCGTACTGTTTTGAATGGTTATGTAATACGTCATGTACTTCTTCCAGAGCTCTATAAAAGGGCTTGGGTTTCCTAGTCAAGCTCTTCTTTGACTTAAACCACCATGGGAAAGGCAAGGAGTACTCTGAGGACAGAGTCAGGGACATCACTGGGGCCATATCGAGGCAACTAAGATTATCACAGTCATTACTTCAGGCCATTGTAAAAGAAGTACAAGGACCTAGGAACAACAAAGACTTCCAAGATCAGGACGGAAATCCAAGTTATAAACCAAGAGATAAGACAGCCTTGCGGACCAACCCAAAGACGAAACACCTGTGCTGTGAATTAGAGACATCTCGGGGTAAGGTATCACTGTTCACTGTCCAGAGGGTTCTTCATCGAAATGGTCTAAGAGGCTCTAGAGCAAGAAGGAAGTCGCTTCTTAAAAAACGCTACTACCAGGCCAGACTGAAGTACACAAGAGAGCACAAAAACAAAGATGGCAGCTTCAGGAGGAGTGTCTTTTGGTCTGATGAAACCAAGATTGACCTTTCTTGCCACAATGACCAACAATATGTTTGGCGGGAGAAGGGAGAGACCTTTAATCCGAAGAACACCACACCCACAGGGAAGAATGGTGGTGGCAGTATTATGCTTTGGGATGTTTCGCTGCTAGTGGTCCAGGAACACCGCATAAGATAGATGGCATCATGAAAAAAGAGGCGCTACTTGAAAATTATCCAAGGAAACCTCAAGCAGTCTGCTCGCAAGCTGAACCTTGGACGTCCATGGACCTTCCAGGGTAACAATGATCCTAAGAACACTTCCAAGTTGGTTACTGGATGGCTTCAAAAGAACAAAGTGAATGTTTTGGAATGCCCGGCCCAAAGTCCGGACTGAAATCCGATATATAGAGAATTTGTTAAAAAAAAAAAGAGTGGGTAAAAGGAAACCGACCAATTTGCCTGAACTGTACCTATGCTGGCCAAGACGAATGGGCTAAAATCCCTACAGATTATTGTAATAAGAAGTTGCTTAAAGCAATGCAACAAAGTATTAAGTCAACGCAGTCCTTGATGTATATAAACTTGTGACCTTGTGTTTTTATTACATTACATACACAATGGGAATATATCCTCCACATTGAAACATCTGCAGAATACTTTGTTGAAATGGAGAATGGCCGTAACTGTAATAGGATGAAAGGAACGATGATTATTATAAATGGAAAATACATGTGTTCTGCTAAGGTGTATGTGAGCATTTGGGCACGACTGTAAATTTTATGTAGTCATCAAACTGGCAAATAAATTGTCATAAATTTGCATCATGTTCGGCATTCTTCGCTAAACATTCTAATAATTCGGTTAGCTGCAAGTGCCTCGGATTTCGAGTTGTCTTCACTTATCATACTCAAACTCAAAATCCACGTGGTTTGATCGCTCGAAGCTGCGATGAAAGTGGCCGGCGAAGCATGAGCGACGCATGCTGCTGATCAGCTCACTCGCATTGACCTAATAAACCCGTGGAGCTGAATGGCCAATGAATTTGACGGGCTGCCCCCCGCAATGATTAGAAATCTCTGGATCTTCGTTCTGGCTCATTGCTCCACCCCATTTCGCCTAGACGCTACTATTACACGACAGGCGCCCTTTGAATTTCAACACACAATCTACACTCGGCACAAACATGTTTTCTTTTTTTTCTAGTGCATAATGAATTTTTTCGCTAAGGTCGATAAAATGTCTTATTTTACTCACGGTAACCGGGTGAAGAAAAGGTTCGTCAACTTTGTATACAGGAATGAAAATCCTTGGCGAAGTTAAAATCGACCAAGTCGCAAAATGCAAGCGTATTGGTTAACAGCTGTGTGTAGTCGATTGAAGTGGGATAGCACTAACAATAATCATGCCAAAAGCAATGACATGAGCCTATTTGAAGCGTGGCTGAAATAACAGGACGCTGCTTAATAGGGCAAAACCCCTGTGTTGGCTAAAAATATACCACTTCAAATAATGCCCTCCCATTGTGTTCGCCAGTTGGATACAACGAACGTTCATTGTAAAAACCAACGATCATTAAAGATGCGTCTTTTTAACTGTAAACATGCAACCGTTTAAAAGTAAACACAATTTTGGGGAAAAGGGTGTTGTGGTGTCCAGAAATTGTTAGCACCTGATAAAATGTTTTTGTGTCTTATTAACACCCAAATGTGGCATTGCGTTTAAAATTTATTAACATATCAATAAGTATTTGTTAAAAAATAATGAAACACTACAACGTGTTAGCTTTGGATTATGATCACAATATAAAGTGCTACCAGGAAGGCGTTGAAAAGGCGATAAAACATTATCACGTGCTTCTGCAGTGTTTGCACCGGGTATCGAGGTTTTCGTAGTAATTAAACTCGTGTATGTGTGTGAGTTTGTTTCTGCATTCAATTGGGGACCCTGAACAATAGAGGACAATAAGGTCCCCGATTGACAGAGGGTCCCTGATTGACAACTGTATACAAAACATATGGGTGGTCTTCTAAAAAAGGTGAAGTACAAACAAAAGAAGACCAGTAGGGGGTCCCCAGTTGCAGGCAAATACACACTTGTGTGTGTTTTTGTAACTGCCAAACAAAATATGATAACATTCAAATATACCCAATATTTCAATTGATTTCATCAAGTCAATGAATTTTTTTTTTCAAATAGAACTTTGCCAGTCTTCTTTGGGATTGATGGATGGATTTATCCCTGATGCAAACATCCACATCCGTTCCCCCTTCGGCGTTTTTTTCGGACCAGAGAAAGCTAGGCCCATTCCAAAAGGAGCGTACGACAGTGGTCAGGGGTGGTGTGTTGGAGAACAAGAGTAAGATAACACAGCATAGTATTTTCATTATTATTATTACTGGTTTATTTCCATCCCGTTTAGTAGCAGTAGCCTAAATTGCACGGTGGATTACAATAACGTCATTTAAGTACGTTGGTAAAAGTCATTTGAATAATGAATAATATAAAAACTATGAATCACATTGAAACAGAAGACGACTATGATAATAACCACAATTGAACCATCATCAGATCAAAATCACTTTTTACTCTCTGATTTAACCTAACTTTTGATCCAAAATTCTTGAAAGGGTACTGATGGTTTTTGAATCTGTTAGTGGAGCTAGTTTGTTCTTTACTATAGTACGGTGAGATCTAAGGGACATGTTATGAGTCCTTATAGACTCTGGAAACCGGTGATTAAAATTGCCTGACCTGTACGTTTTCACAGAAAACAAACACAAACTAGTTCGTCTATCAAAGAGCGGCTGAATTCCCAATAATGTCATTGCTTTATGGTAACTCAAATACTTGCCCTCAAGATTTATTTTTTATGCGTTTTATGCGTTTTTTATGCGGTCTCCCGAGGTTGGAAAGAAACAATGCCTCTTCTTTTAAGTTTGGCACTCATGTCAACCTATACTAATACAGAATTAACGTTATGTACTCATTTTTGCGTGCGCATGGACATTTGTAGTATTACGTCATAGATTTAAGCAACTTTGCCAACCGGAGGTAGTAATGCGCATTCACCTGTCTTATTTGTGTCTTTCATCGAAAAGGTCCAATGAGGACGTTGCAAAATAAAGGGTGCATTCCATCAAATGGTGGTAATTCTGCGCGCGAGCTCGTTAAATTTTGTGATCCCACGGGGTTTTACGATAAGACATGCCATAATCAGGAGGGACCATAGAAATATTTCTGCAAATCCCAAATTTGGGACTGATAAATTCCAGTTCGGGGTATTTCTTTAAAAAAGCCCCGAAGTGCGGGCCTATTTTGGATAGAGGCGGGCCACTACATACAGAGCTAAACGCATAGTTTTACTGCTATTTTTAGGGATATCTTCCGGAAAAGGCGAATACAAAAAATTTTTTTTCATGACTTACCCCCATAACACTGAAACAAAAAGGGATCTTCTGACCATAATCTTGAATTTTTAGTGAAAAACGGAGGCAAACCTCTTCACGAGAGTCAACAGGCGGCGCTATTTCGGTCTGATTTTGCACTGTTTTTCTATGGGCGCGTATTTTGCTGTAGTGCAACCTAAAAGCTTCATGCCCGCAAAATACTACGGAATGAACCGCTTAAGCGCGTGCACGTTAGCATGGCAGCGTTATCGAACACGTCACCTTGTTCTGGGGCAAGATTTGCGTAACGGAGATGGTAAGGCTTGTCACCTCTATCTTTACTATTATGATCTCTATGGGTAAAAGGACCGGTAGTTTTGTCGCCACTAAACGTCTCAAAGTCTCCAATTCTTGCGCATACTTTACGTAGATTATTAATAGGTTACTTGCGCGCGTACAACGCATTGCAGGGACGAATACGCAACGCACATAACACGCACAGAAAACGTGCACATGGAAAGGTGCCTTTTGAAGGGGACTGGTTTGTAGAGCTGAGGATAAATTAATACTGAGGGAAGCCGTGCATTAACGATTGAAAACTATCCGGCTCAAAAATAATATATAAGGCTTCCCCGTCATTCATAATGAAAGTCAAAACATTTTAATAATTTCCAGGCCGAACTCGGAATGCTGGATTCAAGTTGACCTGATAAACGCAACCTTTGTATCAGGTGTCAGAGTGGAGAGCATGACAGATTGGCCTATCCTCGACGGCTTGCACGTAGGCTACAGTGAGGAGGAAAACAACTGGAACATAATTCATGTATGGAAAGGAAGTAACACCTCGAATATGCTTGTGTCTGTTCCTATTTAAGAATTGCAAGTTGAATTCGAAAATGAAAATTAACTTTTACGGATGAACTTCGAGAAAGAATGTGATGTCGTTTCAGTTGCTTATTAATAAATAGGCCTTGACACGTGACGCACATTGAAGGCGTTCAGAGGAGCCCTTTCTCACCTCTGAGTGTTCCGTCAAAGAAGGAAATTGTTACCCATGACAATTTGCTGTCTTCGGCCGTTTTCTAGTACTCGACTTCGTCTCCGTCTCGGGCTTTGTGTAGGAAATCATATCCCCGATTGTGAGCCTGAGGCGTTTAACTTAAATTGAAGTACTGTAATATTTGGCTCTTTGCATCTTACTTGATGTTTTGTGACACCACCAGACTTACTATTGCGCTTACAACCTCAAGTCAGGAAGTAAAAAAGCAGTTGAAGCCTGAGACGGAGCCCAAGTCGAGTTTTGGAAAACGGCCTTTGTAAAGGAAGGTAATACTTAACAGGCTTTTTTGTTATTTCATATTGCAGTCTGGAAATCTCCTTCGTAAAAATAACACAGAGTATTTCTCGTCGCCAGTTGTAGCCAGATACGTCCGAATATTTATCGACAAGATGCAGAACAAAGACGCATGCTTGCGTTTCGAGATCGTGGGGTGTCAAGGTAGTATATTACACACTGAATTCTTATATATCTGAAAGGTTTCAAAATTATACAAATCGACATATTTGTTTTAACGCTACAAATATTACGCCAACAATGAAAATTAATATGAGATCTGAAATTGAATCTAAATGTTTGAACTTAATTGCTTCCTTTATTGGAAATGGTAAGCTGTAAGTCGAAGGTTAATTCACAATCAATGCGCTGGTGTATTAACGCCTAGTTTTGTTGGTAGTTTAAGAGAACTACCATGATGTTTGTCCGCCGTGAAAGGAATGGGGAAGCACAGCGATATCATTGACAGCATCTCACCCACGCAGTAGGCTGAGTGAACAATGAAGTCTTTCAATGAAGTCCAGCCACGCACATCCCTTGTAACAGTTTGAACTTGTCTTGAAACCATCCTCGTCCTCCTTTCTTCAGGTTGCCGTGCTCCTCTTGGTATGGCAGACGGCTCAGTCCCAGACTCTGCCATTACGGCCTCAACCGTACAAAGTGTCGATTTTCAACCCCACTTTGGAAGGCTTTACAACTCCAATTTGACAACAACGAGCGGTTTTGCAGTGTGGTGTGCCAGCAGTGCCGACCAGTATCCGTGGATCAGCGTTGATTTGAGCCGAGCTCTATTCATTTCGGGTGTGATAACTCAAGGTGCACAGTGCTGCCAGTACTGGGTTCAGACCTTCAAGGTTAAATACAAACGAGAAGATAATGAAGCTTTTGAGTCTGTTGGCAAGGTATGTTTGACTCCGCAGAAATGAAAATGCTATGTGTTTGAACCGACAACGTGTTTCTGTTGGTCACCAGGTAAACAATTCGCTTAAAAATTCGTCACCGCCACCACGAAGTGTCGCTAATATGGATTTTGAGGAAAAATAGGTTTTTGAGATAACCGCTAGAGAAGTTCTTCCTTTAAAAAACTACCAAAATTGTATTTTGTGACATCTTCTTGTAACGAAAATCCCTTAAATGATTGTCTGATGTCTAATCGTTCACTTAACCAGAGTAATTAATATAAAAAGGGGTTAATTAGCCCAAATTAATTAGCAAAGGTTAGCATCACTTCGTAAGAACAATGTATAATAATCACATGGAAGGTGATCGTGTCTTTACGCGCGCAAAACTGGGAATGTAACAAAGCTAACGTTACTTTGTGAAAACGAAAATCCGGTTGACCTACTTTTCAGCCGTTTCCTTGCAACTTGCAATACGTTTTGTACATGTTCAAAACACGTTAAGCATTGCGTCTCTTCGTGAAAACGCATTAAGATTTTTGACCGTGACAACATTAATGTAACTATGACATCAATGGTGTTTTGTTTGTGGGAGCATGTAAAAATGTTAAAAAATCAGTCCCTTTCTATTGTGTGCTGGGAGTTATTCCCTATTGTGCTCGCGGTTCAGCAGGGCTGTCCAGTTGCATAATAAACCCGTGATATTTTGGTGTGACAATCAGGCTGTAGTTAGTGTCATCAACAGAGAAACGTCTAAATGTCACCTAATGATGCGTTTGGTGCGCCGCCTCGTGGTGACATGTCTCACATATAATATCCAGTTTCGATCTCAGCATGTTCCAGGCCTGGATAATGGCATTGCTGATGCTCTTTCACGTTTTCAGATGACCAGATTTCGTCATCTCGCACCCGCTGCAGACCGCGATATGACCCTCTTGCCCACCAACCTGTGTAGTGTCTTCAGTTAGAGGTCCAGAGTCTTTTGCAGGACGCAGTGGCCTCCCGCACGAACCTACCTTATCAGAGGGCTTTGCATCTTTTTCAGTGGTTTAGTCGAAGCCATGGTTTCGGTGAACTACTCCTCCCTGTTTCAGATTGTTCGATTTATTGCATTTTTGATGGTATCTGGTTATGCCCCATGCGACGAATACCTAATACATATCGGGTGTTTCCTCCAATTTGCAGTTAATGAGTTTCCTAATTTCAATCCCAGCAGCGCAGAGCCGCCACAACAGGATGTGCCCCGTCCGGGCAACTTTGTCTTATTTTGCCTGTTCCACATCCCTTATGGCCTGTTTTTGTCACATTTCGATGGGAGTCCTGTTACACGTTACCAGTCCCCTGAGTTCATAGGGCTTTACGAAGCCAGATTTACCTCTCATTCTTTTCGCATAGGCACGGCCACGTCTGCGGCTATGGCGGGTGTGTCTGAGGATGATGTTAAGTTTTGGGGCGTTGACAGTCTGGGGCTTTACGTCGGTACATTCGGATTCCCCCAGCTATTTTCCATTGAACGCTCCATGTTGTCTTAGCTTAAGTACTTTGCTCGTGTGTTGTTCGATTTTCTTTTTCATTTTTTTTTGAGAATTACCCCCAGCAAGCCGACTGTGTTGGTCATTGGAGACGGCTCTGTGTGCTGGTGTGCCCGGGTGGCGGGGTCATAGCTTGTCTCAGGACAGAGAGTATTTCCTTTTCCCGCAGGACTGTAGCTATCAGCAGCTATCAAATTCAAAACTGAAATAAAAATCAATCAAACTGAGTGTCAGCCTTTTTAGACTAAGTGAAAAATCCCCCTAAAATATTTTGTTGTACATTTGGGGTTAAAACGTATTTATTTTCCTAGTTGATGGACTATCATTATTTTGTTGGTCAAAGTAAAGCTTCCATGACTATGTGTTTCTGCGTGGTCCTCTGTTGGAAAATATAATATTCCTCACACATTTTGTTTACATCTGCTTTTATCTTACGCCGTGTTTAATTATCTTATTCTTAGATTTCGGATACATTTTTGGTTTTGGTCTCTGAAGCCAAATTGTATGACTTTTGATACCGACGACGTGATTTGAATGAATTTGAAAGTTTAACTAAGAGTACAAAGTTCACCACCGGCGTTTGCCCTGCACTATGTATACGACAAGGCATGGTGAAAACTTAGCTGGTATTCTGGCTTCATGTTCCCACAGTAGCACACCAGACAGTAGCCTGGGTACCAGTTTCAGGGCTTCGTTAGACTTGTAATTGCCGCACCCCTGTCACCATGCATAGAAGTAGTGCTGCAGTAAATCAGTAATAAAAAATCATAGATTTTTAAAAAGCAGATCACATTTTCGAAGTTTCACATTCTCGTAGCTTCTGACAATTAAATAAAATCGCAACAAAAGAAAAGGAAGATGACAAAAATTAAATTTCTAAAAAGATTTTAATACTAAAATTATCCGTCAAGATTTTTAAACTTGGGATTGCATTAATTTCAAATTGTGATAAATCATTATTAATTACATTATTTTTGTATGTCAATATTTTATACGCCATGCAGCCATGAATGCAGCCATGTCGGACGACAGTATGGGGTGCCTTTTATCATTTTGATGTTTATTTTTCCTGTGAATCACAATAAAACATAATTATGTGTCTCAATTCAAGGAAACTGCTACTCTGAAAAACTTTCACCGTAAAGACGCACCTCTAATGTTGTAATACTTACCCGTCCTAATAAAAACAATTAAAAGGGAGAGAGAAACGTAACAACCAGGGCGGCCTTTGGTGTTACTTCGTGAGTTCCTCTAGAGGAAGGAAGAATCATTGGTAATGTGTCTAAAAAGCGTTTGATAGATGTCAAATCCACATTCTAATTATCACATGAATTCTTAGCTTACAGGAGACATTTTGAGAGAGTACACAATCTTTCAACAACGATTTTGTATTAATTACTATCAGCATTTTTGCCAAATCGCCGTAGTCATTTTTTAAGATTCCAACATAACATGAAAATTGGAAGCATCTTATATACCAGAGTTTTAACGAGGGACTGGTGTTTGTGATTCAAGTCGAGTCATTGCAAAGCTGTGACTCGAGTCATTTGGAGTCGAGTGGAGTCATTCGGCGAAAAAATCAAAATTAGTCAAGTCTAGTCAAGTATGTTGCTCAAGCCATTTAGAGTCATTATAACTCTGCAGTATGCATATTTCTATAAAACGTGATAAATGAAAACAAGCGAGAAAGTCATTTTTGGAATTTTATATTTACCTCTGGGTTATTACATGCGGTCCCACCACATATTACTTTGATGATAATATGTGAATATCCTTAACCGGCACTGTAATCACTGGAAATATTGCTACGAAATTGCTGGAAATATTGCTGAGTCTTATAAACTTTCAAGCGAGTAGGGTCTTTGAGGAGGGAATCGAGTCTAGTGAAGTCATTTGCTTGAAACCTGTGTTGAGTCGCCAAAATTGTAATTCGAGTCGGACTCCTGTCGAGTTATCATAGACTGGAGCTATTATAACTCCGTCTGCAACAGACATATCTCTTGATATAGGACGATTACCGGTATAATCTGATTTTAAGAACTGATGAAGTATTTTAGACAAAAAGAGAGGAAGTACTGATTTGTCTTCGATGTATTCAATTATTTCAGAGCTTTGTCGCGAACACCGATCAGAACACACCCGTAGAGAATTTCTTTGAACAGCCAATAATAGGACGCCAGGTGCGGATTGTAGCTCTCACATGGCATGCAAGACCTTGTCTTCGCTTTGAACTTCTTGGATGTAAAGGTTTGTGATTTTCCGTTTCTAATTACCAACAGAAGGGAATATAAAATTCGAATCAAACAATATTTACATCCAAAGATTAACTGATTGTAATCAATGCACTGTTATGCAATTTAATCTAAAGAGTTCCTTATTTTACATTGCTTAACAACCCATTAAAACCTCAACTAACAACAAACAAATTGAATTAATCACTTGTCCATAAGATGGACGGGATTAGCTATTAAATCATTTCTTATGTTGTTGTTTTATTACCTTCACTTCCTGACCTTCAGAATGCAAGGACACGTTAGGAATGGAGGACGGAACCATCGAAGATGAACGTATCACGGCGTCGAGCAGCAAGACTCTTTATGTGAATCCAATAGACAGTCTGAGACCAGGCCGGCCCTTGCCAGACCTGTGGATCTTAGAAACTATTGACGAAGCTTTACCCTACTTCACTAGGAACCAAATCATTATTGATCTAAGTCGACCAACGGTTGTATCTGGCATGACGTTATACGCTTCGTCAACAAGCATCCATTCGTCATTTATGTTGGCGTATGCAGTCGATCCATTGCATTATACTTACTACCTGGATCATAACAACCAAACAGTGGTAAGCGTTTTAACCTGTTAGGTATTTTTATTTCTTATTTTTTCATCGTTACTATGTGGTTTAATTTCACCAAACATTCTGTATGATGTCACTTTTAAAGAAAGTGAGTAGCATTATTAATTCTATTAGTCATCACACGGACGCAAGTGGGAGGCAGATTAATGTAGTGCGTCTGTGTTCCGTGTAGGCCTACTACGAGATAGTCCACTTCCTGGACTGCGTTCATGCTGTGCGCGTGTTCGTAGCCTGCTCACAATGGTAGTGTATTATCCACCGATAGAAGACGGCCACACACACTGATCTCTTTACACTGGATAGGCAGCTCAGCAGTGACTTCCTACGTGTAAATTGAAGTGACCGCGCGGCCATCTTCGGATTTTCAATAAAATGACCTCCCAAATTCAGTCCATTCACTAAGTGCATTCATACACGGCGCTAAAAGCCGGTGACTTGGAAAATGGCGTATTGAATATAGCCTAAGATGACCGCGCAGTTGCTTCATCAATTCGCAGAGCAGAGCTGCCTACCAGTGTATAGAGATCTGTGGTCACACACCCCAACCTTGTTTCCATGGGTACGGTCTTCGTGCGCCATGTTGGTTCCCACTATACCTTACGCGATCTTAAAACCCTTCATTGTAAGATTTAAGTATCCCACTATGTTGAACTAGGTCAAACTTGAGCCTCGTTAGGCGAGGGTAGTGATAATAATCGAAAAAATGTATGATTAGAGGCAGGGTAAAATTGGAATAGCGATTAGAAGGACTAACAAATGCACATTGTTGTTTTAAATTTATTTTTCGCCAAGGAATACATTCGAAACAACAAATGTTTTGCCACGTTGAGTAATATTTTTTTACCAACAACTTAGCAAAAGCTGCCAAAAGAATTTTCTGCGAACGCCAATGTTGCAAAACCCGAGGATGTGTGCTTCCACGGCTGCAACATTTTTTTTCTTACATCAAGCTGGAAAAGAGCCTTAAAGTATACATTCTTGCATATATAATGTCACCCTCGTATTGGCTAAGAAATAATTGTGATCGTTATAACAATAATTGGTACGCGAAACTGTTTGAAAAGTATCCTCTGTATCTCGAATAAGGAGATATACATGTAAACACACTCTAACGTTACTTGCATTTGCTGAAATCCAACTGCTGTTAAATCTTAAGACTCTTAATTTCAAAGCAGCAAAACGTAACGAACTTAACCTTGGATATCAGATACAGTATGGATGGGAAATCCAATGTAATTGTACATCATTTGCGCGAGCATCGCTGGAGGATCGGGGATACGGATTTGACAGTAGTCATTTGGGGGCAAAATCAAGGAGCCTTCTGCAAGAAAAGACACAAAATGGCAAAGAAAAAGGGGTGAAGTAAGTGGTAGGTCGGGGAATCGGACTACACAAATTTGTCAATGGCACCCCTCCTTTGAAAATTGTGTCATGATGCCCATGATCAAAATGAGAAATTTCTCAGAAGAACACAGTTTAGTTTAAGGCCGTGAACCAGAGTAAATCAAGTAATAGTAAATCCAACTATTTCAAGCTGGGTGAGGGGAGAAGATTGCAAAGCAACCATAGTATGGAGGGGCCTTACATTCAAACGCCTGTACAAAAAAACAGTGTCTACTAGTTGAACAAGACGAGTGTTTAAGATGCTGCGTATAATGGACCGCTGAAGAAAGTGATAAAAATGAGAAGTGGAAAGCCAGAAACGACGCTGATAAGGTCCCCACATTAGGTGTTTATTGGCATGTCTGTTCATTTGGCTATCTGTATAATGGCATCCCAGGTAAGTTTTACGTTTCGAGGCGCTGCCTTTTCAGCATTATCTTAATATAATAACCTAACTTGGCATATACAGGTGATAAGTCAATTTCCAGGGAGACTTTGCTCACTGTGGGACTGCGTGTATTGTTCACGTTCCCCATTGCCTTTTATTCTTCTCACATGTACACGACAAGGGGATACAGGACGCATCCCATTGGGTTAAGGTTGCACAAACACATAATTTGGATCCCGGGGTGTGCTCGTCACGTCATTCCATGTCACCCGCACACGTACGTTTGACGTATGACGTTTTTGACGTGTATGACTTTTTGTACCGGGAAAGAAACGATGAACCCCGGCCAGAAACTGAACTAACCAGGAGGCCAAAAGGCTGAGTGGTACCGGTATACAGGACACAGACCACAGAGCTATTCGCTCCTAGCAGAAATAAATGGGGCTTGTACTGAATGGAAAAGGCACACAAGCCGTTGCCTCCCTCCCCCGCACTCACACCATAGGCCTGCACGTTTATGCGCATTTGACACGGGTCACGCTGAGTACGCGCAACGAATGGCGTTTTCGAAACAAGTGGATTTGGCTTAGACTCATAGAGTTAACATAAAAATCAGAGCGCTGACTCATATACAAACTGAGCGATGCCTACTGGGCGCATCCATGTTTGCGCACAAACCTATGGAAAACGCCAAATTTTGTATGGCTTTTGTACGGCTATTTGCATAACATCTGCGTCTGTTTTCTAAAACGATATGTCAGCAAAGCCGATATGTAAACATCCTGCAAAATCAGTAATGAGCGTTTCATTTTGCTCTGCTCCAAAAACACCAACGCATGTGCTTATGCGCTGCACATTTTGCCCTCACTTTTTAATCGGTTTTTATCAGTACCCGATGCGCACGACAGCCGCCGCTCCAGAGCTGTCAACTTACTCAACACTGACTGAATTAAGGGCACGATTTAATTTAGCTGAACTTATTCATCGAAAGGCAGCCATAAATAAACATGCATATTTGAAATCGGACAACCCAAACGCAGGCCAGTATGCGCTGCAGATAGATTTTGCCGTGATGCTTTTAATCTGATTTTCTTGGTATCCGGTGCACATGCATTTAGAGTACATAATTCGATATTCATTCCATATCTTCTGATTTTGAATGTTTTACAAGCAAGCACATGGATTCAAAAAAATGTTCTCCGTGCAGACAATGAGAAGTTAGCGCTCTTGTAATTTGATTTAATTTGAAGACCTCTTTTTGCTCCGTGCTTCGCGAGTGTGAGCGTTGTAATGATTATTATCTTCAGGCAAACTTGATTTGCAGTAAAGATGTTATAAGGGCCTATGCCGCAAACGTACGGCCTCTGCCAGATATGCGCTTTTATTTTTGGCTTAAAACTAGCGCAATGCGTTGAATTAGAATAGTGCATTACGCGGGGTTTAGTATGCGGTACAGCTGTTTATAGCTCTATGGTTATCACACAAACGCGAGTGGAAGGTGGAATAACGTTAAACAAATTGATGTACTGCGTAGCACCGTAGAGCATGGAAGAATCGGAAATAAAATAGAAGTAGCGCTCACCGGATGAAATGTCACAAGCCAGACGACGTTTGAAAAAGTGAGGAAGCGCAACTAGGCGGTCAGCGTGAAGGATGCAAGTGTATAGAGACTTGAATATGTAACGGGCCAATGATTGTGAAGTCGACGAAAGTACGGAAAGCGTCGTAAGTGTCCTTCACGTGCGACGGCAGATGGCAGACAATGAAAGACATAACAAAGTTACAGTACTTGGGCAGCTCAGTAGGCGGAAGATGTGTCGGAAAGCTGAGGTTCGGCCTCCAACAGACAGAGATCTTTAGACAGACCAACGTGGCACCACCGGTATCAGCTCTTTCGATATCAAATTTATATTTATCCTTGAGTGAACGCTATGGAGTGTCAAAAGTGGACAACCCCATTTTCGCATTTTCTGTTAGTAGATTTTCGGGATTTTGGACTTTGCGTATAGCATTTTCAAAAAACGCAATTTTCCGCTAATCAAAATTTGGCTTTTACTTTAACAACTCTCGTGGTGCGTCAAAAGTGGACGACGAAAACTTCAAATTCTCACTGGCAAAATTACTCTCATGCTCCAAAAGTGTTCAACCCCATTGTCTCATCTTCTGCCGGTAGAATTTCGGGTATTTTGCAGTTGCCCAATCCCAGGAATTGAGGAAATTTGGATTTTACTTTGCCAATGGCGCCGGGGTGGTCCAAAAGGGAACAATTAGAACATTGAAAGGACCCTTTTCCCCCTACGTTGAAATGGAACGGTCTTAGGAAGACTGGCATCAAAGTACTATCTAAATTTCTGCTAGCAGAAAATTGGGTTTTATGAAAAGGGGTGGTGCAAAATCAAAAAACCACAAAATTTACGGGCAGAAAATGAGTAAATTGGGTTGTCCTCTTTTTGAGCATCAAATCAAATTTGCTAGTGGAAATTAGAAGGTTTAGTTGCCAACTTTTGAAGCGCCGCGTGACTTGTTAAAGTAAATCCGAATTTTTGCCTGCGGAAAATTGCGTTATTTTAAAAATGCTTTACGCAAAGTCCAAAATCCCGAAAACCTACTAGCAAAAAATAAGCGAATGGAGTTGTCCACTTTTGACTCTCCATAGCACGCAAGGCTTGCTGTTTCGATTTGGAGATGTTGGACTTGGCGTAACGGGTGCGGAAGTCAATGCGGCGAATATCAGAGCGGCAATTCTCAATGACCCGTTCTAGAGGTTTGTTGAGACCAGTGGGTGGGCACCAGCTGGACGACTGGAGTTGGCAGCAAGTGTTAACTGCTCCCGCTCTTCATGTTGACTGCTCCTCATCCTGACGACAATCCTGCCGCCAACACTGACTGCCTAGTTACACTTGTCAATTTCTTGGACTGTTACCCTCCTCTGGCTCGCTGAAATGGTCCTGACCATCAACATCTGCAGCTTTAATGGGAAAAACTACTTGCAGACCAAAGACGTTGCCGAGAGATTAAGGATGGGTACATTCCATGCCTGCCTTTTTGTTGGTCATCTCTAGGCGAAGATGGTGCCTAACTTTCCAGGGCCGACACCATTGCTATACAAAAGGTACAGTGATATTATTGGTGCTACATCGGGCACAAGGAAGGATGTCCAGAAATTCATTGATTACGCTGAGAACCTCCACCCAGCCTTACACTTCACTTCAGAAATGTCAGATGAAACCGTCACATCCCTCGACATCAAACTGCCCATTAACGGCAACTCACCACATCCGTCCACTGCAGACCTACCGACTCTTACGGCTATTTGCGCTATAACTCTTGAAACTCATCCCATGAAGGGCAAGAATGCCTTCTCATACAGCAAACTTCCGTGTCTCCGCAGACTTTGCAGCGATAAAAACATGTACAAACTGCGTTGTAAGTAAATGAATGGATTTTTCCACCATTGTGGCAACCCACTATCTGTCACTGACGCAGCTCTCCGCAAGATTTCTTCTATAACCTGGGAAACTGTCACAAAGAAAGCCCTGTCTAAACAGCAAGATCGCATCTCTCTCGTGCTTACATACCACCCGCTCTACCTGGCTGTCAGAGACATTCTCCTCAAGCACTTTAAGACGCTACTGGAAAATGCAGAGACAGGCACCATCTTTACTAAGTCCACCACCCTGCTTTGTTCATTCAGACGTGACCGTTCCATCTGCGATCTCGTTTTGCGGTTTACGCTTCCCACCCGTACTATTTGCATCCTAGATAATAACTTCTTCAGGACACTCCCCTGCAAACGTCCGAGGTACAATGCCCGTGCACACGTTAACGAGACATCTCGAATAAATGGTCCCTGGCAGCGCTCATTTTAACGCCGGCAGTCACTACAGTTGTACCACTACTAATCTGATCTACAATGCCACTTTCTAACGCACCCTGTGGCGCTTCGCACTCGCAAAGCACCTCCGGAGCGTTTGTCGCAGACCACCTGGCTTGGCTGTCGCCCAACACTTCAGCGCGCCAACATACTCCACCGAAGACATGTGCGTCTCTTGTTACTACAGCTTTTTCCGACACGCAGCACTGCTCTTTGGAACAAATGATAATATTCCAAAGCATGAACATTGGCTTCACCGCTTTTGCTTTAAGTTTCAGAAAATGTGACGAGTTGGTTTTGTGGATGTGTATGCCATGTTGGATAGACCAATGAGAACAGGTTTCCCAGTACATCAGCATTATTTATGGGGCTAACAAGTAACTTTACTCTTTAAAAGACTTCTGTGAGCCTACCTGCAACTAATTTGGAGTATACAGCAGATTCCATCATAAGTATACCCGCACTAAAAATAATGTTGAATCAGTTCGTCAGTTCTGAAAACTATTAAGGAATCAAGCATTGTAAATAATTTATTATTTACATTCAATTCTGTGGGATATCGTGCAGGGACAGACAGAAATATTACATAGGCTATAGACCTAACGTCAGGCCGTTAACGAGTAAAGTTACGTCTGGAGTAACTAAGTTATCGATGTAACAAAAACAGTATTATTTCATATACACGTCGGTTAACAGTTGTCAGTCTTTAAAAATGAAAGGATATTATTTTTTCTTTCAAGTGGAGTTCGGCGCAACTGCAAAAACGAATACATTTTCTAGTTCTACTGATAAAATGAGAGTCAGGCACGATGGATCGATCGAACAAGTACATGGACATGTGAAACGATGAAGGGTCAAAGTTAAAAATACCACTGCGCAATCGAGACGAAAAAAACGGGCGACGAGCGACGCACGACGGACAACGCACGCGTGGGCGACGGATGACGCACGACGGACGACGCACGACGGGCGACGGCAGACATGGAATTCCATAGAGAACAGCACATCGCGGGGTTTGATTTGAACCGTGTAACACCTCACCCACACATTCTGTATCTTGATCGGTCAAAAGTGTGTCATGTGACGCTTGCCAGTTTTACTTTTTTGTACCATCACTCCACAAAGACTATTCACATGCAGCCTCGCTCTGAAAAGAACTATATCCGTAGCAACGAAACCTTGAATAGTACCCAGACGTGTATTTTGGCTCATAGCGTAAGCCTTTATTGTCACTCTCGATCCCGTTGGCCGGGTGACGTACTAGCTACAAATTTAATAGGTTTCAACGACAGAGAAAGCAACCCAGTCGACGTTGTGAAGGATCCAATAGTAAGAGATCCAATAGTGGCTTACAGGGGTGCTTGTTAATTCACTTCAAAAAAATTGGAAAGGGGCATGTGGAACATAAACGTCCCATTACTCCAGAGGACGTCAACAAATAAAGGCTTCGCCAGTGAGGAATATCGCCCACCAGCTGGTATTTAGAACAAGGTGTTCATAGACATTATGATATATTTCAAAAGGGCAGACTTCAAAATACATACTAATTCCAACAAGTTCCAGTATCCATGTATCATAAAATGTGATCACCTCATGAAAAAAAAAACCAGGGAAAATGACGACAAAAGTCATGCAGGGCTGATGTATGAAGTGCCTAGGAACCCCCACTTTCCTGCGAACACATTTCTACCGTGCACACAAAAGCTACATCCAACTGTGAATCTCTTTGGCAAAGACAGACAGACCACTTTTGCACCAGCTCAGACCAATGGCGTATCCAGCAGGGGATGGGGAGGGGGTAACTTGTTCCATGACGGATTTTTTTTCAAAGAATACTTCAGAGGTGAGCAGACAAGAATGTAATCCGTATATTAGCACCAAAACCCCAATAAAACAGCACCAGCAACTAAAAGCAAGGATGTCGGGACCAGGAGTTCGTGATTTATATTCTCCCTAACGTAATATTGAATGAGTCCGAAACCGCATTCGATTTTGAACCCCCCCCAAAAAAAGCTTGATACGCTGCTTGCTCAAACACGTGGTATTGTAATGCGGGACAATGTCCAACGAATTAAACTGACGGTTATTTCCATTGGTTTAGAGCTTTAAGCAACACTTGGTTCGATTCCAGACAAATCATGACTGTTTCTGGCCATCACTTAGAAACGAGCATCAGGAATTACAGCCATCATCTCATATAGAGCCCCAGCAATCATACCCAGTAAACACATGGTCAATCTTCCCCATTGAGGACAGCATCTCAAGAATCCTTATTTTGAGAGACGTGGCTAACTCACCAGTTCGCCCAGGCAATTTTTAATACCTCATCCCCAGTGGCGACAGATGCGAATATTAATGTTGATGCAACATCCAATCGCATTGCATGCATGGTAATTTGCTTCAAATAAAATTTGAAAATTTAGTTTTGAACAGATGGAAACTCTGAAGGTATGAATATTAGTTTTATCTTCCAGCTGTTATATATTACCCGTAATTTGTCTTGATCTCTGTTTGTGAAACTTCCCCAAGTATTGATGTGATCTTGGTACTTTACAAGCACTGTAAAATATTGGCTTGACAAAATTGATATTCCCCTTGTAATTCTTGAATTAACTTTGATTAATGTTTTGGTGTTTCATTATTGATTTTCAGCTCAGAATCTGTGGGTGAAAACTTATAAAACAAATACTGCTTTATCTATCGGGAGGCTAGTTTACTTTACTATACCACTCGAACCAGTCAATATCTGTTCACTTTTGTTGCCATGGATCAACCCACTAGAATAGAGAATTCAAGTTTGCTTATATACACAGGGGTAAAGAATTTTACCAGCTTTCGTTCAAATGTGATAAGTAATCCCTACATTATCCATATTGATGCAAGATTTGACTATGGGATCGAAATAGCGAAGCAAGCATTCTGCATATGCATGCCAGCGACGAAATTTCTAGCGCCGCAAGTGCCAGGACAGGGGACAAAACCGGTGAGTGGGACACCTGCCCTGAGTGTTCGTCAGACAATGCCAGGTTCGACAAGAATACCCATCAAACAGTGGCGATTCTATTATCAATGAACTCTACACCAAGCTAGACAAGAGTGCAACTCACACAAACTCTATATACTTATGGGATCTCTCCAGTGCGGAATATAATTCTAGCAAGTAAATCAAGTCATCTAACTGTGAATTATAATTACAGAGGTACGGTATTTACTGCCGTAAAAGGGAAGGCTTGCATGACTGGCATAAAAAGAGAACAATGATTTCCTCTGTATAATTAGGTAACTAACTAACATCTAAATAAATTTCTTGTGGTTTTCTGACAGTTCTTCACTCCGAGCTTGGACAAGGCAGGAGTAATACGTTTTCCATCGGCTCTGTACACCCGATTTGTAAAACTGCGGTACAGAGAACTGATTCATCGTAGATTTCTTAGTCAAATTGAACTGTGGGGATGCAGAGGTAAGGCTTTGTCTTCAACACTGTCTCTAAGTGAACAGGATTTCTGAACGCCCGATCTATTTAACTTATTACGAACAGCATCAATGCACTGCCCATACAGACGCTTTAAAACGGCTGTAATCATGTAGAGTCTTTAATATACAATTTTAGGCATCCAAATTCACCGAAACTTCTTGATTTGTTTGGATGCTTATTTTGAAATTGCCAAAGCGAGCATGTGGCAAAGAAATTAGAGTAACTTCAAAATAGGCTGATGTTACTCATCTCAGTTAAGATGGGTGATTTTATTTGTTTCTTATTTGGTGATGTGAAAACTCTTTATTAATCCTAACCCCTGAGGGTGTACGTAGAATCATATTGAAATCAGAGGATTTGGGACTGTTAGCTATGTGGGGCCATCATGATGTACGTACTAATGGGGGTACATACGTACACCTTCAACACGAACAGAGGCGCGGGCTGGGAAATGTGAATAATTATATGCAGGGCAATAGAATAACTTTTGAACAAATTGACATTAACTCAATGCACCTTCTTCTTTTTCTACCCTTTATGCATTAAGAATCGCTATAAATTATGACTGGCTACCTCCCAACATATGGATCTTAACCTTACGAATGTACACGGTCAAATAAGTCAAAGGATTATGGAGTTTACGTTTTTGTGCAAGAGTATTTAATAGACGGCAACCAGGGCCTCAGTCACTGCTTCTTATTCCTTATCTTTTCAATCTAAGACAATGTGATTTTCCTTTAATTTCCTCAGTAAAAAGAGGAAACATTTTCAGGATGAACTGAGAAAAATGTTGAATAAAGACCTCAATACATGTACTACTCCGACTACAATGAGAGAAATAAGAATTTTCATATACACATAGTAGCATGTCGATAATTGCAATCACACTTCGTATATGCCATTCACCAGTCCTCTTTCATGCGTGTTAAAGGTCGTTGTGAGGATAAGCTGGGTGTTGAAGACGGGACAATCCCTGATGAAAGAATGACGGCGTCTAGTGTGCTTGAAGACCCCCTTGGGCATAGCAGTGCTCACTCAGCCAGACTTAATAACCAACAAGCGTGGTCACCCATGAGTACTGACACCCATCCGTGGATACAGGTCAATTTAGGCTCAGACACAGTTGTAACTGGAGTGGTCACCCAAGGAGGTGGGTTAGCTCACGATGGATCAACACAACGCCACTGGGTGGAGACCTACAAGGTGGGCTACTGTGGCAACTGTTTAGAGACTACTGCTGCTGGTTTAATCCATGATGTGGCTGATGAAAGCGGAAGAGTGCAGGTAATAAATTATTCCCTTCAAAAGAGTTCCTGTCAATGACACTTCAGTTGAAATTCAAAAATGTAACTTAAAATGGTATTGACACGTATACAGAGAAATGAACATTTTCTTTCACTCTAATGCAGCTTCCCTTTTTTGCCATCAGTCCCCTTCGAAAAGAGTGTGCGCATTTGGTACAGAAGCAGCCATTTCTATCGAAATCAAAATTAGAATAGAAACCCACGTTTCATTATCCTGTTTTTTCTATAAGAAAAAATGAAGAATGAAAAACAACTACATGTATATTCATCATAAGCCGTTCTAATGTCCAGTCAGTCAAGTTTCAATGGCAAAATATATCGTCCTTTTCTGTGCACAGCTGGGTTACTTTGCAATCAGTGTAAGTGCATGACCTCAGAAAGATGGCGACCACTATAAACACGTAAAAACTAAAGGCCATTGGTTAAGGTTCTTAGCCTTAAAAGTCATGTGTAAAATGTGAACTTCTCTTTTTTGGCAGGTCTTCTTGGCGAACTCTGATAGGGATTCGCCTGTTGAGAATCTTTTCAGTCAACCAGTCTTAGCAAGGCTGGTGCGAGTTGTGCCTCTATCTTGGCACGGTTTCTCTGCAATGAGACTGGAGCTTCTCGGTTGCCCAAGTGAGTTCTGCGACACATGTATATTCTCACAGAGTGCTGGTACTGAAGTGTAAAGGGCCCAAGTTTCATAAATTACACACTGACCTGAAAATGCATGGGCTATATACACACAGTCCAACTGAACACTTCTTATACGTGAGCTTGCAAGTAATGAATTGCTTATATCAAACTGAATTAAAAATAAACTGCTTAAACGTGAACGTGAGAGAAACCCTTTTATGGGGCGTTGGTTAGGGCCTATATTAAACACTCGTACAGAAGTTTTATTCATTCAAAAATTCCTTCTTGTCTGACGCTATAGTCTAATATTGCACCTCCTTGTTAGACAAAAATAAAACAGTTTATTAGTGAATTCACCTTGAAAGCGGTTGGTGTGTTGGGGTAAAAATATGGTGAAGATTATAAAAGAATATTGAGGCCAATATTCGTTGGTTGCAGTGTTCAAGTAAACTTTATTTCGTGGTCATGGTGTTGCTTGCTGTTTATAACATGTCAGTAGATTCATCCCTCTAATCAGTCTAGATCATGGGAAAAAGAAGAGCAATAGAGTCTGTTTGCCAACAGAAGAGATAGCTTTTTCGCATTCGTTTTGTTAAGTTGAAAAACGAATCTACTGCACAAACCTGATGGTGTAATTATTTCATCATGATCATTCGGGTCTAAGGTTTCAACATAACCAGGCATATACTTCAGGAAAAACATGCTTTAAAAAGTGCATGTACTCTGTAATTTAAATCCTCATCTGATCATCATCACATCAGGTAAATCTTCGACTAAGACACTTCCCTTTCTTGTTACCTGCAAAGTTTCAGCTCCATGGGATATGTACTTCAGGAGATAGAAGGCTTTAAACCATGAACCTTTAATGTCATGTGACTTGCCTCCTGATGACATCAGCATCACATCGGGTCAATATTCCTCTAAAGCCCTCCCTTTTCAAAATATTTGCAAGATTTGAACCCTATCGGGCATGTACTTCAGCAGATATAGGGCCTTGAAGAGTGCACCTTTAATGTCACGTGACTTGTCTCCTGATAACGTTATCATCACATCAGGTCAATATTTCTCCAAAGCCCTCGCTTTTGAAGATATCTGCAAGATTTAAACCCCGATCGGGCATCTACTTCAGGAGATATAGGCCTTAAAGAGTGTGCCTTTAATGTCATATGACTTGTCTCCTGATGACGTCATCATCACATAAGGTCAAAACTCCTCTAAAGCACTCATCACTCGTCGTGTTTGGGGTTCGCAACTTAACACGTCCCCAAGCAGATCAGGTGCCAGCCATATTTTTTAAGCAAAAAAAGAGTAGAATCCGTGCAAAATTAATAACATTTGACATTTCCATAATGTCGTTATGAAAAAAGCGATATATCGGTATTGGACAAAATACGACGGTGACTACATCTGTATATGATTTGAAGAATATTCTACCCGATCGAATTTAATGGAATATTCAACGTTTAATAATAAATCACTTGACAACGTCATAATGACGTAACTATCTACGTATTATCTTCGATTTATGGGGAATACTTGGTGTAACTTTGATGACGATCAAATATTGCTAAGTTACCAAAATACAAGTGCCTGGAAAACGTTTACAAAATCCGTGGGCCGAAATAAATATTGAAAAATCAATAATAAATCACTTGATGACGTCATTATGACACCACAAAGTTTGATAAAGATCCAAAGTTGCAAAAGGACCAAAGTCAACGGCAGAAAAAACGTGCACAAAACACATGGGCTTTGGTCAGAAGAGGAAGAAAAAGAAGGAAGAAAAAAGAACAGAACAAAAAGAATGTCTTTTTCGCAAAATTGCGAAAAAGCCCCAAAAAAGGACAAAACAATGCCTTTTTCGCAAAATTACGAAAAAGCAAAAAACAGAACAAAAAAATTACTTTTTCGAAACTTGCAAAAAGCCAAAAAAAAACAGAACAAGAGTAATGTTTTTTTCGCAAACTTCCAAAAAAGCCAAAAACACAACTAAAAGAATGCCTTTTCGCAAAATTGCGAATAAGCAAAAAAAAGGAACAAAAAGAATGCCTTTTTCGAAAAATTGCAAAAAGCAAAAAAAGAACAAAAAGAATGTATTTTTTGCAACTTGTGAAAAAGCCAAAAAACAAAACAAAAGGAAAGTCTTTTCGCAAAATTGCGAAAAAAAACAAAGAAAAAAAAGGAACAAAAACAATGCCTTTTTCGCAAATTTGCGAAAAAGCAAAAAAAAAATGGAACACAACGAATGCCAATGAATTATCTTAACCCGCTGATAAATGTAAATGGATAACGTTACGGGGCATAAACGAATAGAACTACGTCTAGTTCTGACACTTCGCAGGTCGTAACCCCATTTTATAAAGTGTTGAATAGGAAAAATGCTTATATTTAGTGTCATTGATAAGGTTAAAATAAGTACATGATTTTCAGGTTCCTCTAATAATGTAAAAATGGCGTCGCTACAAACAAAAAAGCACGAATCTCACCACCCATTGCACTCACCTCCATACATGTTGGGAAAAATGTGGTGCGTGCGCTGCAAGCAATTGGCCAGAGAGGGTGCGCTTCATCAAAGCAAATTGCGACAATTATTAAAATTATTTACTTACAAAAACTATGTTGAACTTTCTCCACACCTTAATTTCGTCCTCCATCTTTAGACTAACAAAGCACTCCCTAGTCTATGGGATGTAAAGTCGTTTTGATGGAAAATTGGTGCCGGAGTTACTGATGTGCATGTGTGGCTTACTTGGCCGCGGATGTCCGTAGTCAACCATTTCATATAGCATATTATGATCTGGCTGATTAGGGACATCTGCAGGTAATGTAATAACGGTCCAATAGTGTAATAATATACAAATATTGACTGCTTCAAGTGGTCTAGTAAACTAGCCTCTTGAGGTGATCCATGGATAATTCTATTTCCAAGACGAAGCTGAGGCAAAATAGAACGCTTCATTGATCACCAAAGGAGACTAGTTTTACGAAAAATAAAGCAGTCAGTATTGTTTTATAACACCTCACCCACAGATTCTGCAGATTCTGTCTGTGGTTGAGATGTGTTATAAGATTGACCAATAATGCAATAACACGAAAATCTTGACATAAAGAGGCCAATGATATCATAAGTACCCAAAATTTCCGAAATACAAGCAACAAATTGTTGTCACATTATTGGTCTTTTTGTTATTTCGTCATCGGACAGTTTGGGGTTACAACATTATTGACCGATCTTCATTATCGGTTCATGTAACATCATCGGCAATTTCTATTTCATTATTGTGCAGTATTACATTTTTCATACGATAACATATGTCGGCATATGTCGGAAAATATGTAAATGAAATAGTAATGGCAGCGTTCGTTTTCGAGCGAAATAGAACAAACATTCAAATCCCCGTTTCTATTTAACAAATACAAATTCTATTTCAATCAGGGTGCATTCAGTTCAATTTTTCGATATTGCACTGGTTTAGTATATTGGTATTCATTTTTGCGTGAAATCGAATGCACCTCTACAATTCTGCATTCGCCTTAAATTGAACTCAATCTATTTCGGAAAATATGCAGGCAATTTTGCGGGAAGTGTTGTTTAACGTATGCCTGGTAACGAATTGGAATTCGCTTATGTGCTAATAGAAGTAGAAGTGTTAAGTTAATTTGTTAAATGTTTGAATATTCATGATTGAAATAAGCTATTCATGCTGCCACTGGAAACATACCGACTGTGGTAGGAAACCTATAAACACTGGCACTGAGGGCACTTTCCTTCTTGTGCTGCGTTTTAATCACAAAAATCTTAATTTTCTTTCTACAGTTTGACAAACACTATAAACATTCATGGGTAGCATGACAAAAAGTTGTGTGATGATTTTAGTACAAATGTATATTCTAATGAAGTTGGAGGTATGATTTGCAATTTTGAATAAATATCAATGAAAAGGATTAATGATCCACTTCCAAAGGGTCACGTAAAGGACATTTTTTTGGCGAATAAGAATGCATTATTGACAACTAATACGTCAATCCGAAATCCCAGTCACGTATCTGTAACCTCCGTAGTGAAACGTAATGCACATTCATTTATTTGAAAGATGCAAAGCGAAGTCGAATGCTTGTTATTGCGAAAATGAAATGGTTTATGTCGTTTTCAAAATCTACGCCAAATTGAAATTTTATTTACTGATTAGATCGCACATTTTCCTAAATTTGCCAGGAAAACCTATTACATCTGCCATCCCAAAGCAGCTGGAAGAAAGACTGGTCGTTCCCTGTTCAATGCTTTTCATCTGACCAGAAAAAAAAGGACACCGCTCCCCGTCCTCGGCGCGCCTACCTATACTTTGATCATGATTGTCGTTAAACCTCTATTACAAGTTGCCCCTTCTTGCTCTGTTCCTCGTTTCAACTAACGACGGCCCACTTATTGTAAATGTTGCTAACTTGCTCTTTGCTTTGCTCGAGCGAGGAACAACCACCTCCTCTAAAGCAGCACTGCAAAATATACAGGTTAGCAAGTCTTGTTTACCTTGGCATGATTTTAGCCGAAATGGAGCAATGAAGACTATAAAGGGCGCTGCATTTTGGGTTTAGCATGCAACCGAACACAGATTGCAAATATGACAATGGCTCAAATTTGTAAATGCTTTAAGGTTTAGTTTTTGGCTGCTTCCCGAAAAGGATATTTTGTGTGGCTCAGCATCTAGAGAAGTGGCATCTAAAGTAGTTTGAAAATGTTGTGCGTAAACTTTCACATCGCTATTCACCACTTCAGGGGTTATACTCATAAGCACATTGACAGATATTCATAGATAGCTAAAGAAAGGAAAGCTATTCCTATAAGTCGACAGTTTGGGCCTCATATGCCGTTCTTAAAGGTGGTGTAAAGTAGAATCCCGACAATAGGACTACGGTATAATCCTGAAATATCTTACTTGAAAGAAACTACAGTTTGAAACAGTTTCAATCCCTCTGTAAAATATTTCCACCCAGAATGTTGTACTTTTCGAGAAAACTAAATTTTGCTTTCTTTTTTGGAGTTAATTTAGAGTTAATTTCACTTAACACATCACGTCCTTCAACAGGCGCCAATTTTCTTATATGTAGTGTTTGCAGATGTCGTAGGAGGCTCCATTTATGTAAAGAACTGTGAAGTGAAATTATAGAAACCTGAGTGTTAGGTGTAAAGTAGAAAATAAATTGGATCAGTGTGAAGTTGAATTTTATTTAAGAAAAGTTTTTTTTTTATAACATGAAAACTTTGCAAATTCAAAATCATTCTAGAGCATAATGTCATGATCCAAGATGGCGGCTGTACGTTTCTGAGCATGATGATTTTCGTCAACAAAAGTATGATTTCTGCATGTTAAACCTTCCTTGTTTTTAGACTTGATTCTTTTTTGCTTATTGTTATTAATTCATCAACTGATTTATTTATTTATGGGTATAAATGCGTTTTGCTGGTCTTAAATGTTCGTTGGAGAGCCACAGGAAAATGTACGCCTATTTAAATGTTCCATTGGCCAGTGGCGCTCTACACAACTGTAGTATGTGCCACGTGCATGCCAGTTTATTTCTAAGGCGATGTTAATGACTACTTCCAACAGGGGCATACCATCAATTTGTGAACTTTAATGTGAGTTTCTGACTCAACAAGTATTTATGAATGGGAATTTATATAAGCTGGGCTGATCTTAACATCATTTGGTTTAAGACTGCCTACTCAAACATACTTACTGGCTCTTCGCACAGTGCAGAAAAGGCTTTGTTTCTCTACTTATTTTTCTGTT